CCCTTTTGTTCCTTTCTTTAATATACCATAGATGGGATAGGCCCCATTGTCTGTGCCCCACTGGAACATGTCACCGACATGTCAGGGAGGGCTGGTAAAGCAGGTCAGCCGCATATCAGGGACATGCCTGATGAATTTTAAAATGCATGAGCCAAAAACATAATTTGCCCTGGATGGAACAAGAGAGACTGAAGCCCCAGGACTCAGGTTAGCCTGAACCCTTGGAAATAGGCAGTTAAGATGACAATAAAAACCACTGAACAAATCCAAAAAGTGTCTGAACAAAATGTGCAATCTCAAAGACAGCAACGTTGTTCAAGCATTTATTTGATGGATGTGATCTGTGAAAAATCGCCAAAACCACCATGCTGTTCCCATTTAGAAGGTGAAGACGAGGCAAAGCTATTGCCATCAGTGTGTCTTCGCCACAGTCCAGCACAGGGCCTCCGGTCACCCTGAGATCGTGGAGTTTGGGAGAGCAGTGCCCCAAGATTCTTCCACTTCCCAGGCCACTGCAAGGTGTGGTCAGCTGACTGCAGGCAAACCAAACATCCCACACATTAGGTGCTATGGGAATCCTTGCAGAGAACCATGGAGCAACCACAGGGGATGAGCTGAGCTTGGCTGGGATGGAAGGAATGCTCAGGGAGCCAATCTCTTCAATCCTTCGTCCACACAACCTCCTGAAGTGGTCGCTCCAAACATACGCAAGTTCAAGCCACTCTCCCTCTGAAAATCCTTCCCTGTTTCCGGGATTACATGTTCTGGTGAAAGAGTATTGTTACTGAGAGATTTAACCAGTATAGATGGTGATATATTTAGGTCTCTCATGTCCCATATTTCCTATTATAAACTTCCTGATAGAAACCCATCCATTATCTGTTACTTCAATAAACTCTCAGAGGACAGCATCCCTTGAGTTCCAAACTGGATATTTCCTGAGTTTTCTCCTTCTCCTGCTTTTACTTCTGAAGTATTTTTGTGGTACAGCATCACTTCCAACCCCTGATTATACCCCAGAAGCCCTCTGAGCCTGGCTCTTGCCCACTCCCTACTTGTCTCCAGGGTTTGGGCCACGCCCTTCCTTACAACCTCCACTCAGTCTCTCCTGACGTGCAGGCCGTTCCCTCCACCTGTGCCCACTTCACCTGCCCTCAGCTCCTCAACCTCTGAGCTCCGGCCCCACACCACCTCTTCTTGGAAGGGAGAGGCAGCCCAGCACCCAGCTGGGGAGGCTGCTCCTCCTCTGAACTCCCACAGCACCCTGGACAGACATACTGTGGGGCACCGGCTTTGGGATTGCTTGTCCTCCTCCCTTACTGAGGCCCCGGAAGGCAGCCTGGGTGGTATCTGTGGCATGTAAGCCAGCCTGGCCCTGCCTGCTGAGAGCAGGGGCCGGTGTTTGGTGAATGAATGTACAGTGTCTGGGGCAGCTCCATCTGCTGCCCGCAGTGCCAGCTGGGCAGGAACTACAGTCCCACGCCAACGAAGGGTGTGGACTGTCCCCGTCAGGAGGAACAAGTTTCCATGGGACCAGGGGCATCTAGCCAATGCCACTTATATCTTTAAATAGAACCTGAACAGGGCGAGGCGGGTCCAAGCTGCAGTTTTTCTGGTACGAGTAAGAATTGATGACTTTGGACTACAGATTAAAGAGAATACAGATAAAAGACAGACATAGGTTACATTTTTCTCCTTTATTATTAGAAACAAAAAGAGGACTGTGTCTCAAAATATGACAGAAGGGCCTCTCCCTCTTATCATATTTCAAAACTAATCTACTTCCAGACAATCTGAAGAGGTTTCCTTCTCGTTACAAGGGGAAAGGGGGTGTGGATTTTTGGTCAGCAGATTTATTGTTTCCAGATGTTTGTAGCTCTGGGATTTGCTTAAGGATTTTGGAGAGCAGAGGCGAGGCAGCACCAGGGGCAGGGTGAGCAGAATGAGAAAGAGAAAACAGCCACACAAGAAGGAAAAAGAACTCTGCAGCCCCAGGAAGAGAGCACCTTTTCAAACTGCCCCCAGGAACAGGCTAGGGCCCTTCACCATCACCCAACAATCTTAGAAGAAACGCCTATGAAGAGAAATGTTTGTCTTCAACCGGGAGATCATGCTTTTCCCATAATAAACACCATGACCCCATTTGTATGGTGGGTTCCTCTGCCAGCAAAACAAAGACCACACTTCCAAACCGTCACCAAGGCTTTGCCACCCTAAGGGTGTCAGAAGATGCTTACTGTCTCCCGGAATTCTCTGTGCAGAAGGGCTCTCCTGTAAGCACGCTGTAAAGATGCATGCACAAATCCTGCAGCACGTGCACAGAAGAGCAACTCTAAGGGCTGGAGGTTCTATTTGAAACTCTGTCCATTTAATTTATACCAACATCTGGGATGCAAAAATATTTCGGAAGTAAAAGTAGGAGAAGGAGAAAACTCAGGGAATGTCCTGTTTGGAACTCAAGGGATGCTGTTCTGATAGTTTACTGAAGTAACAGATAATGGATGGGCTTCCACCAGGGGAGTTTATGTTAGGAAATATGGGACATGAGAGACCTAAATATGTCACCATCTATACTGGTTAAATCTCTCAGTAACAATACTCTTCCACCAGAACAAAAACATTTCCAAACCTATTATTGATCTTATTTCAATGAAATTCACACTGAATCATTTGGTATATCAAAATGCTTTTTTTCCAGGTTTTTTCCATACCATTTGCCAGTCTAAACAAAACAACCTTAGCAGACTATGTAAATAATAAATGAAGACACGTAATAAATATAATCAATGTATAAAATGCTTCCAATATACTTGATAATCATAACCTTGCAATTTAATCAAAGTTTTATATTTCTTACTTAATTCATGAGAAAGAGAATGCTCTTTAATTACTTTTACAAAAGCAAAATAAATTTTAAAGTAACTCTTACTTTCTCATTCAGCAGGGGTAGGTTCATAATGTGCAGAATTTTTTATACCTAGACAATCAGAATAAATTTGAAAATTTAATAAGGCAATCCGTTCTTTCTTGTTCTTTGGCCTCTTGCTTTTTTCTGATCTTTTAGAGTCAAGTGAGTCCTCTAAATTTGTGAGACTCACAGAGGGTATATGTCAATAAACACAGTAGACTACCGCCTTCTAGTCCTTCTGTGATGGCTAATCTGCATGTTGTGCTGAATGTCTGCAGCTAGTGAGTCCCTCTGAGCACCTGGCATGCTTCTGCTCACACCAGATGAACGAGGACTAGATACTTTCCAAGAGTCAACATCTTTCTCTGAAACTTATATGTGACAAACACTGCAGAAACTGTTGAAACAAGTATGAGAAGAGAATTGCTATTTCTAAAAACATAAACTGGCTGTTTGGGAAAGACATGGAAAAAGGGGCTGCTAAAAAATAAAACAAACTACTGTCAAATGAGGTGTGGATGAATTAATCCTAAAAGATGACAGGGGAGGGTGGGGTGGGGGATACTGGAAAAACCTAGACTTTTGCGTTCAGGTTGTTCTGCTCTTCTCTAAGAAAACCTGAACTGGAAGCTATAGTTGAAGCCTTATGGGTGTCATTTCTTAAAAGGAAGACCACACAGAATTCCTCTCAGTAGACAAACACACTCCAAAATAAAGTAAAATGAAGATGACCTGGGGAGTGTTCAAAGGTTAGCAAATAAAGATCCATTCATGTTTGTTAAGTTAAAATGTTGAAGACATATGCTACCGATTTTTTTTTCATGATTAAGCGGTCTTGATCCAGGTGGATAAGTAGGCTTGCAATGCGTGGGTGGAAAATAAAGGAGGCCTCCAGTGTAGTGTATGAAAGAAACACACAGATTGAGAAACCCTCCCAGGGCTCCTGTTCTCTGAAAATAGCCAGGGTTAAAAGAGATCAGAATTCAACACAGAATGGATGTGATCTTCCAACTGATCATTCTCAAAAATAAAATCAGAGTGGATTTCAGAGCTCAGAGCATTGCTAAGCCTCATGCAGCTTCATCTTCTTGCATATACTTAATTCCACAAGAGAACTGGGGTCTCAGTAAGCAAACATGACGCGGCAAAGAAGCACCACCATTAAGGCCAGAAGCGTTCTCCACTAGCTCTCGCCCCCATCTTCCAGTATCCAGAGCCTGAACTCACCCTACCCCAGCCCACAAGACTGCTTATGTGAATGCCAGGGACATGTGCGCCCTACCTTCTGACGCTGCTGAATGTTGGCCACCGTGTCAGGCTGAAAGTCCAACTTGTCCGTGCGGCAGAGTTTCCAGTAGAGGATGACGACAATCACCGTCACCACCAGCACTGGGACGACCACGCCGACGATGACCCAGAGGCTGCTGCCCTGGGACTCCGCAGATGGCCTCTTCACCCTGTCCACGGCTGCAGGGAGAAGGTCTGTCAGCAACTCCCCTACACTCTCGTACTAGGCAGCCCTCCGTGCGGTGAATGGGCCTTCTATGAGAAACCTTGGAAGTCTCTGCATTTCCGCTCAAGACAACTGGTTAGAGGCTATCATCTCCTGATGACAGGGAACATGACAGTAAACACAACATAGAATGTTACATCTTCAATACATTAGGAATGATAGTGAGGTATATGATGTGTCTAAAGGAAAGTGGCTAATTTGATGGCAAAGCTAGGTTAATTTCAGGTCTCCTGACTTCCAGTTTATCCTACCAGCTCTACCCTGAATTCTTACTACAGGCATGCTTCCATACCAAAATTAGCAATCTCAGGAAGTATTGTATGAACACTGCCTTCACTTCCTCACCTGTGACTCTCCTGAACTCTGGAACATGGCCTTGAGTCAAAACTGCTTTATTTAAGGTACTAGTTGTCAATTTTTAAATTTAGAAAGTAAATCAAACTTGGGGAAAAAAAAGTAAATCCCACCCTCCTCCCACCCCTCATCACGGCCTCTGCTCCCCCATCTTTCATGGCCTCGGACAATTATGCTTCAGTTACTCTGCCCTTCTTACCTTCCCTCACTAGCCTCTTTCATACCCTGCCTGCCAGTACCAAGCCCTTGTCTTCTTCATTCTGTACTCATCCTCTCAAAAGACTCAGCTCATGGTGTGGGGGGGTCAGGGGGAAAGCAGCGTAGCACAGAGAAGGCAAATACTGAATCTGTGGCATCTTACTACACTGATGGGCAGTGCCTGCATTGGGGTATGGGGGGGGACTCGATAATATCGGTAAATTTAGTAACCACATTGTTTTTTCATGTGAAACCTTCATGAGAGTGTATATCAATAATACCTTAATAAAAAAAATATAAAAATATTAAAAAGAAAAAAAAAAACTCAGCTCCTCTTAAAGCTCAGGTTCCAATTACCAGGCTCCAAAACTCAAAATGCCCCCTCCTCTCTGCCCAACCTTCTCACCCACTTAGGGCCTTTTCACGAAAACCCCTCCATGACAATATTAGTTTCCCTTCTCCGAGTTCTTTCGTTCTGCTTACCTTTGTCTTGTGAGCAGTACCTTACTATTTCCTTACAATCCATTTGATTACATAAATGTATCATCATGATATACTACATTATTTTGCTGTTAATATGGTCATGACTCTAAGTCTTGTCTTTCAAATACATCTCAGTCTTCCTGGACAGGGACTAACTTTCATGGCCTTTTCACATGCTATAATGGCTAACACATGCTGTGGGATCAAAATGTTTCTACTCAAAGATGTAACGACAAAAAGATTCTTGATGCTGCTTTAAGCTTGGGTTTAGGCCCCTGAGAGAGTGACAAGGGAGAGGAGTGGGCACGCTGAAGCACATGCGCTGTGAGAGAGGTGCAAGTCATGGACAGGAGACTTGGCTGCAAGCGGAAAAAGTGACAAAGTGTTAAAAATTTTATTTTTAAATTTCGCCTGAATATAGTTTATATAGGTAGCTCATTTTGCATGAAAACAACTAACAATATAGAAGGAGTGACAGAATCAAGCTGAGACAACTGGATACTCTTCTCAGTGCTAACCTAGTAAAATCCTGTGGGAGGTGCAGACTGACCGAAACGACGCCTGACCTGGGGATCCCCAGCTGCCCTGGGGCTGAACCTAGTATATTGGCCAAGGCTTCCAGTCCTAGGATTGTTTAAATGTCTAAAGTCTCTGTCGCTTTTCAAATGAAACTGGGGCAAGAGAGGTGCAAAGAGCAGATGGAAGGAGGCTTGAAAGGTGCTCACACCCTATTGCAATTAATCTTTTTTAAAGGGGGAAGGGGACACTGTCCCTACAATCAGAAATGTCACATATAAAGAAATATAAGTGCTTTGTTACTCTTTTCCTCCTGCTGTGAAACAGAACACACTAATATGCAATCATTTCTCAAATACACAAACACAAACCACCAACAGTCATTGGCTTAAATACTCCCATCATGGGCTACGCAGTGGACAGTGTGAGCCCATCAGCTCTCACCCTGGTTAGTTTCCAAGGACAAGTAGAAATTTCACAAAGAATCTTTCATTTCCAAGGGTAATTGCAAAGCTGTTATTTCTTAAAACTACCTTTCTCTCCTATGTCTTCTCTATAAAGAATTTTCAATATTCTCTGATGCTGAATTCTTTCTAAACATTTACTTATCCCCTTGCTGTGGGAAGCAAGCATCACCCAGCTCTTAGATTCATAAAGGAAAAACATCTACATTAAAATAGCAATCTGATTCATAAAGGAACATTTAGAGAAATAACTCTTCTGTGCCTCTCCTTTTTCATAATTTTAAGTACCCAAAAACTGTCAAGATGGAAAAAAACAGCACTAAGAACAGCCATTGCCAGGACGGCAGGAGCCAGTATATTCCAACAATAATACAGAAGTATCAGAATACCTCTTTCTAAATTATGGAGTGGGGTGAGGATAGGGTGGGAGAGAAACAGGAATGAAAAGGGTAAGGATCAAGGACTCCTTTGTTTTAAAAGACTCAGAAGGAAGCCAATAAATGCAGAGGGCACCTCCTAGCTTCCTGTGTGACTCACTGTCCCCACCAACATTCAAAATATGGCATAAAAGGTTTTGGAATAAATACAGACAAAACATGTTATTTTACCTAAGACAAAATTTTCAAAAAGAAAAATAATGCAGTAGTCGGGGGGAAATATTACAGTTAACTTAAGCTACTAGAACTCACTATAACACCACAAACACAAAATGCTAGGTAGGAAAAATGGCAGTGAAGCCTACAACTACAAGCAGTTGAAATAAAGGAAGTCTTGGCAAATGAATTTCACCAACTGGCATTTATGTAAGTGTCACTTGATAATAAGGGCTTAAGACATAAATCTATACACACATAAGAATACTTTAGATTCAGAGCTCACTGTCAGAAAGAAACTGGCTTTTGACCCCAGCCCAGCACAGATGACTAACTTTGGGTCCAAACCTTATGTACTTACGTTGAGCAACAGCACCTTGAATTCGGTAACCCAAGATAATGGCTGCTCTCTGGATATCTATCTTGTTAATCAGATCTGAAGACTTGACTGCACTAAGTCTTTCTCCATCTTGATCCTCCACAAAGTAGACGAGCTGCACGGGATCGTCATCTCCCTCTAGCCTGGACACATTGACCATCTGAAAGATTAAAGAAACCATCAGCATTTTAGAAGCTCATGTTTCCAGATGCCCTTTCTCAGTGCACTCAATCTTGTTTGTGTTATTCAGGATTTATTCCAGTCCTCATAAAAAGCGCATTACACCATTCCAGATCCCAGAATTCCCACAATGCCCCCTTGATGGGAAGAGGAACAACTAAAATGAAATTCTCTCTGTGCAGAATTACAAATGTGCTTCTTCATCTTGCTCAAAGTCTTCTCTGAGACAAAGGGGCAAGTCAGATGCATAGAACACAGGGTTGCCAAGTCAAGGTAGTCAAGAATCGCTACAAGCTCCAACATATCATGGGAGGGTTCTGGTGCCCTCCCAACATCAACCATAAAGGTTAGGTACATCGCTGGTTGTCTGAAACTGTTTATGAGTCTATCCGAGCCCTTCCTGAATCTACTAGCATTTTCTCCCTCATTTCCTAGGACAGGGTTTCTTGGCCTTGGTACTATGGCTGTTCCGGTCCAGATAGTTCTTTGATGTTGGGGCTTTCCAAGTATTGTAGGATATTTAATAGCATCCCTGCCCTCTACTCACTAGATGCCAATAGCACCAGCCATACCCTCTCTCACCAGTGTGATGACCAAATATGTCTCCAAACAGTGCCAACATACATGGGGGGCAGGGGTGAGGGGAGGGCAAAATCACCCCCAATTGAGAAGCACAGCTCTTAGGATAATAAATCTCATAAAATTTTAATACTCTAATCCCTACTCTCAACAACTGGTAGATCATCCAGACAATGAATCAATAAAGGAAATAGCAGATTTAAATAATAATGTAAACCAAATGGACCTACCACATATATAGAACACTCCATCCAATAGCAGCAGAATACCCAATCTTCTCAAGCACGCTTGGAACATTTTCTAGGATACACCATAATTTAGCCACAAAACAAGTTTCAATAAATTCAAGACAGAAATTATACCATGTAACTTTTCTGACCACAATAGTACAAAAATAAAATAACAGCAGGAAAGCTGGGAAATTCACAAATACGTGGAAATTAAACAACACAATCCTGAATAACTAATGGACCAAAGAAGAAATCAAAAGGGGAAAAAATATATCTTAAGACAAATGAAAACAAAAAAACACAAATAGCAATACTTACAGGATGCAGCAAAAGCAGTTTTAACAGGAAAGTTTATTGCTATAAACATCTACATATATCAAGAGAAAAGACCTCAAATAAATAGCCTAACTTGACACCTCAAGGAACTATAAAAAGAACAAACTAAGCCCAAAGTTAGCAAAAGGGAGGAAACAATAAAGATTAAAGCAGAATAAATGGAATAGAGAATAGGAAAATAATAGAAGAAATTAACAAAAGTAAGATTTGACTCTTTGAAAATTGACAAATGTTTAACTAGGCTATCCAGGAAAAAGACAGGGCTCAAATAAAAATTTTACGTGAAAGAGGAGACATTACAACAGATACCACAGAAATACAAAGCCTCTTAAGAGATCACTATAAATAATTATATACAAATTGGACAACCTAGAAGAAATGGATAAAATCCTAGAAACATACAACCTACCCAAGACTGAATCATGAAGAAATAGAAATTCTGAACAAACCAATAACAAGGAGATCGAATCAGTAATCAAAAACCTCCCAGTAAAGAAAAATCACAGAACCAGACGATTTCACTGATGAATTCTACCAAACATTTAAAGAATTAACATCAATCCTCAAAATTTTCCCAAAAAATTGAAGAGGAGGGAACACTCCCAAACTTATTTTATGAGACCAGCATCACCCTAATACCAAAGCCAGGTAAAGGACACTCCAAGAAAACTACTCACCAATATCTCTGATGAATATAGATGCAAAAATTATCAACAAGATACTAGCAAACCAAATTCAACAGCACATTAAAAGAATAATGCACCATGATCAAGTGGGATTCATCCGTAGGATGCAAGGACGGTTCAATATATGCAAATCAATAAATGTGGTATGTCACATTACTAGTTTAAGATACAAATTTTATGAACATTTCAAAATATGCAGAAAAAGCATTTTACAAAATTCAACATTCATCTTGATAAAAACTCAACAAACTGAATACAGAAGGAACACGACATACTAAAGGCCATATATGACAAATCACGGCTAACATCATACTTAATGGTGAAAGGATGAAAGCTTTTCCTATAAGATCAGGAATGAGACAAGGGTGCCCAGTCTCACCACTCCTATTCAACATAGTACTGGAAGTCCTAGCTGCAGCAAGGAAAAAGAAATAAAGGGCATCTAAGTCAGAAAGGAAGTAAAATGATCTCTATTTGTAGATGACACGATCTTACACAGAGGAAACCCTGAAGATTCTACCAAAAAACTGTGAGAATAAATGAATTCAGAAAAGTTGCAGGATACAAAACCAACATACAGAAATCAGTTGTGTTTCTATACACTAACAATGAAGTACCTGAAAAATAAAGAAAACTGTCCATTCACAACAGCATCAAAAATAATACTTAGGAATAAATTTAACCAAGGAGGTAAAAGACCTGTACACTGAAAACTCTAAGACACTGATGAAAGAAAGTGAAGAAAAGAAATAAATGGAAAGATATCCCATATTCATGGATCAGCAGAATTAATATTGTTAGTATGTTCATATTATCCCCAAAGCCATCTATAGATTTGATGCAATCCCTATCAAAATTCCAATGGTATTTTTTTTACAGAAATAGATAAAACAATCCTGATATTAATACAGAACTACAAAAGACCCCAGTGACAAAGGAGCCAGGAATACCCAAGGGGAAAAGATAGGGTCTTCAATAAATGGTGTTGGGAAAATGGGAAATTCATATCCAGAAGAAAGAAACAGGATGCCTATCTTTCACCACACGAAAAAAGTAACTCCAAATGGAAAGACTTAAATTTAAGACCAAAACCAGAAAACTCCTAGAAGAAAACATTAAGGAAAAAGCTCTCTGACATTGGTCTTGGCAATGACTTTTTGGATGTGACACCCAAAATACAAGCAACAAAGCAAAAATAATAATAAATAAATGGGACTACAATCAATCAAAAAGCTTCTGCACAACAAAAGAAATAATCAACAAAATGAAAAGCAGTCTACAGAATGGGAGGAAATATTTGCAAATGATTTATCTGATAAAGGATTAATATCCAAAATATATAAGGGATTCATATAACTCAATAGCAAAAACACAAACCACCTGATTAAAAAATGGGCCTAAGGTCTGAATAGACATTTTTCCAAAGAAGATACACAAATGGCCAACAGATACATGAAAAAGTGCTCAACATCACTAATCATCAAGGAAATGCCAATCAAAGTCACAATGAGATTTCACTTCATACCAGGTTAGAATAAATATTATCAAAAAGACAAGAGATGTGGAGAAAAGGGAACATCTGTACACTGTTGATAGTAAATTTAAAGCCACTGGAAAAAAGTATGGAAGTTCCTTGAAAAATTAAAAATGGAACTACCATATGATTGAGCAATCCCACTTCTGGGTGTATATCCAAAGGAAATGAAATCACTACCATGAGGAGATATCTGCACCCCCATGCTCACTGCAGCATTATTTATAATAGCCAAGACATGGAAGCAACTGAAGTATCCACCTACAGATAAATGGATTAAAAAATACGATTTAATACACAAACACACACACACAAAGCTAACTCTGTAACTGATGGATGTGTTAACTACCCTAGCTGTGGCAATTATTTCATAATATATGCATGTATCAAATCATCACACTGTACACTTCAAACTTAGACAATATTGTATGTCAATTATACCTCAATCAAGCTGGGAAAAAATCTCCTATTTCATAATCTGCTGGGTCAAACAGTACTTTGATGTGATATCTCTCTAGTGTTAAGGGTAATCTTTTTATATTAGTACTTCAGAATCTAGGACACTTGATATACCACAGTTTTGCATAAATTTTTATAGCTTTCTGTTTTATTGCTGTTTCTCTTAACATGCAACAGTTTCATTGCCCCTTTAGACACCAGCAAAATGCTGGATTGATGTTTTGAGAAAATGATCAACAATGACTCAGGCCCCTATTTTATACATGCAGTTTGACTTTTTGGTCTCTATATTTGCCTCTGGAAAAATGCAGCTGCTATCTTTCTAGCCAAGTGGACAAAATGGTAACACTACAATGTGCTCTGGACACAGCTTCTGGACTCCTTCCTCACCACTGGAAGCCTCTGGCAAGTCAACAATTTCATGATGTCACTGTGAACACCTTCTTATAGATTATGTATAAAGACCCTTAACAACACAGATCCAAACTCTCAACCCTGGAGAATCTGTTCTTTATTCCTCCCCATCCTGAGAAGGGCTCATCAATCTGGCCCCATATTTGTTATTTCTAGGACAGTTCCCTGACAAGTCTATTCCCAAACCACCTACTTTTCCCCTTGCCAACCTGTGCTGTAGTGATTAATTCCTTATTAGCAATTAGAATGGAATACTATCACAGGCTCTGAAAAAGCAGGTAGATTATATCCACCTGTCCCTCTATCTATGTGCCTTATTTATTCCATTGAAACATTATGATAAATTTTAGTGATATCTGGTGATCCCAGCTAGGATAAAGATTCTCTACAAGCTTGTCCAATCTGAAAGTTAAGTCAGTAAAATCTAATTCCAACATCCTTTCTAGATGACTGCTTATCAAATCCATATCTGGAATCCACACAACCATGGTATGACGGAGTCATCATTTCAGGCAATATTTTCAACTGCATTTTTAAAATTCTTTTCTGACTAAATCATGTGTTCACTATATTAATTATATGCTCATTGGAGAAATTTCGAAGAACACAAAAAAAAGTATAAAGAATAAAAATGAAAAATCCCTTGAAATTCAACCAAAGAAAATTATAAACATTTTGGCATATTTCTGTTATTTTTCATGAGTTTTATATTAATATTTTTAATATTTTGATGACATTGCACACATTCTTTCGTAGTCTAAACCTGAGCATTTTTCTATGTTGCCCACTAATTTTAAAAAAGTAGCGGCCACACAACATACCAAAGTATAAACATTCAGTATAATTTATTTGCCTATTCTTCAATTGCTTCACATTTAGGTTGTTTTAGTACTTTCATATATTTTTACATTATTATAGGTATTTTTTATTGAACTATAGTTGATATACAACGTTATATTGGTTTCAAGAATACAACACAGTAATTCAACAGTTACACGCATTATTAGATCCTCACCCCCACTAGTGCAGTTACTGTTACAGTAACTGCATAGATGTTACAGAATAGTTGGCTATATTCTCCATGCTGTGCTACCATCCCTGTGACCAACCTATATTATGATTGAGAATTTCTGTGCCCCCTTATCCCCCTCACCCTTCTCACCCACCCCAACCCCTCCCTCACAGTAACCACTTCTCAAGCTCTATGAGTCTACTGCTATTTAGTTCATTCTGTTTTGTTTTGTTTTTAGACTCTACAAGTTAAATTATATAGTGCATTTGTCTTTTTCTGCCTAGCACATTCATTTAGTATAATACCCTCTAGGTCCATCCACGTTGTTGCAAATGGCAGGATTTTTTTTATGACGGAATAATATTCCATTGTGTATATATACCACACCTTCTTTATCCATTTATCTATTAATGAACACTTAGGTTGCTTCCAAATCTTGGCTATTGTATATAATGCCACGATAAACACAGGGGTTCATACATCTTTTCAAATCCTGGGTTTTGTTTTCTTCAGGTAAATTCCTAGAAGTGGAATTGCTGGGTCATATGTCATTTCTATTTTTAGTTTTATGAGGAACCTCCTACTGCTTTCCACAGTGGCTGCACCAACTGACATTCCCACCAACAGTGTAGGAGGGTTCCCTTTTCTCCCATCCTCACCAACACTTGTTATTTGCTGTCTATTAGACAGTGGCCATTCTGACTGGTGTTAGGTGATACCTCACTGTGGTTCTGATTTGAATCTCTCTGATGATTAGTGATGTTGCACATCTTTTCACATGCCTGTTGGCCATCTGTATTTCTTCTTTGGAGAAATGTCTGTTCAGGTCCTTTGCCCATTTTTTAATCAGGTTATTTGTTTTTTCGGTGTTGAGGCATATGAGTTATCTATATATACTGATGTTAACCCTTTATCAGATGAACTGTTTATGAATACATTCTCCCATACTGTATGTTGCCTTTTTATTCTGCCGGTGGTGTCCTTTGCTGTACAGAACATTTTTAGTTTGATGTAGTCCCACTTGTTTGCTTATTTTATTTCCCTTATCCGAGGAGATACATCCAGGAAAAAATTGTTCATGCTTATGTTCAAGAGATTTTTGCCTGTTTTCTTCTAAGAGTTTTATGGTTTCATGTCTTACATTTTAGTCTTCGATCCATTTCGAGTTTACTTTTGTTTATGGAGTTAGGCAGTAATCTAGTTTCATTCGCTTGCATGTAGCTGTCCAGTTTTCCCAACACCAGTTATTGAAGAGACTGTCTTTTCACCATTGTATATTCATGGCTCCTTTGTCATACATTAATTGACCATATATGCATGGGTTCATATCTAGGCTCTCTATTCTGTCCCATTCATCTATGGGTCTGTTCTTGTGACAGTGCCAAACTGTTTTAATTACTGTAGCTTTGTGTGTTTACTTGAAGTCAGGAAGCATAATACCTCCAGCTTTGTTCTTCTTTCAGTATTGCTTTGGCTTTTCAGGTTCTTTTATGGTCCTATATGAATTTTAGGATTGTTTGCTCTAGTTCATTGAAAAATGCCATTGGTATTTTGATAGGGATTGCACTGAATCTTTAAATTACTTTGAGCAAGCCAGCCATTTCGACAATATTAGTTATTCCTATCCATGAGCATGGGCTAGATTTCCATTTATTTGTATCTTCTTTAATTTCTCTCATGAGTGTCTTATAGTTTTCAGAGGACAGTTCTTTCACCTCCTTGGTCAGGTTTATTCCTGGGTGTTTTGTTTTTTTTTGATGCAATTGTAAATAGAATTGCTTTCCTGATTTCTCTTTCTGCTAGTTCTTTGTTAGTAGATTGGAATGCAACAGATTTCTGTGCATTAATTTTGTATCCTGCAACTTTGTTAAATCCAGTTATTAGTTCTAATAGTTTTTTGGTGGCATCTTTAAGGTTTTACATATATACAGTATCATGTCATCTGCACATAATGATAGTTTCGTTTCTTCCTTACCAATTTAATGCCTTTTATCTCTATCTTGTCTGATTGCCGCACCTAGAAGTACTTTCACTTTTACAAATTATGTTTTCATGAAGAATCCTATACCATTCTACATCAATTCTCATCTTTATCTTTCTGCTTGGTCACTCTAAAGGGACAGAGATGTAGGGCACAGTCAGATAGCACTATTAGCCAGGATGGCCAAGTTAACTTTCACATATCCCATATTCCTACCTTAGGGAACTTGCACAACTAAACCAGCACCTCATTATGTAGTTTTATGGGGCTCTATAACTGTTTTATGTACATAAATTAACCTCTACCTAAACCTGGAGCTCTAGGAAGCCAGCAGTGCTGAGTAAGGCAAAGCTTTTATAATTTGTTTTAATGTTTTATTGTTCTACACTTATTTGTTTAGTATTATTCTAAATTTTTTATTAGTTTCTTAATTTCTCTATATTTTGCATCTGGCAAAGGAACAACCACCTTCCTGAGGGGAAATAAAGAGCAATACTTACAGGGAACACTTGGTAAAAGCACGGCAGGACACTGATGCCTGCTCCCAGCAAACTGGTGTACTCCTTCCACCTAACGGCAGTTTTACGTTTTCTCTCTAATGCTTCCAATCCACCAAGCTCCCTGCCCCTGGGCTTCAGGGTTTCAGTCCGGTTTCCTATCTCTGAAATGCCACTGATCTAAATATCTCATTTCCTAGCTCTATAGGTCAGCAATTGGTAAAGAAAACAAATCCAAAATAACATAATTCACATTGAGATGGGAATAAATTACATCCCCAACTGCCAACTTCTGTATGTGCATTTTTAACAGGATGACTTTTCAATACAAGTGAATCTGTCACTTTTAACCTTTCTTGCAGTTTACAAAGTGAATCATATGGTGATGATGGTAACTTGACTTATGTAGTGATCACTTCAGAGTGTACACAAATATTGAATTATGTTCGCTTCAGAGGGTACACAAATATTGAATGATTATGCTGTACACCTAAAACATACAATCTTAAATACCAGTTTTAACTCAGCAAAAAAAAAGTGAAGACAACTGCATAATATGAAACACTTGTGATTCGTAGAAGGCCGGGAAGATGAAGTGCTGGAATAGAGCAGAAAATTTCCCTATTTCTGATCTCTTAAGGTTTCCTCCAGCTAAAAGATTTATTGCTATGATGGTATTGATAATAACTTATCACTGCATAAAATTGACTACCTACTTGCAAATCAAAAATCTACTCTTTGAAAAGTAAGGTCATCCCATGGCATGGCACCCAGTGACATAATTCTTTCACTGTTTTTCCCATAGGTCTATGGTTGGTACTGACCACTTACTCATGGCTCAGTAAATATTTTTCTGGACTCTAGTTGAACTGAAATGCTGCCACATTCAGTTACTACCTAGTATAGAGCAATCAGTCTAACTTACAATCTTATCATGGCATTTTCCATTTGCATTAAAATACAGCACGTTTTTAGATGGCACTCTGTCTCTCCTTCCCTCCACCTCTGGCCTTCTAGAAGTACCTGCACCACGCTGTTCCCCGCAGTGATGGTGGCCCTTCTCCACACCCGCCTTCTGGTAGACACCTCACTGAGCAGCTGGGCCAGTTTGCGTTCCATCTCAGTCTGAAACACTTCATTTTGGAGCTGCTTCTCAATGACTCCCAGGAGAACTACATTTATAAAATAAAATACATGCAGGCCCCAAAACAAGTTAGCAGTGGAGGAAAAAAATGGCACATGTGTAAGAGAGATTAACATAGGATCACTACAAAGTGTCAGTCCCATACAGGAGACATTAAAAGGAGGGAAACTGGATGTGAACGGGATGAGAGTCCAGAATGTACTGCTTCTGGGTCTCAGCTCTGTTACACGGACAGTTCGCCACAAGCTTCAGGAACTCAGCAATGCAGGAGCCTTGGAGCTAAGAGCTCCTACACAAGATCAAACATTTTTTCTGCACTTATTTCAAAACTTCTGGAAATGGCTGAGTTCCTTCCTTATCTTGATTCAAGACTTGGACTCTTAAACTGACTCAAGATAAGAGTACCTATCTTTAGACATATGCTGTAAACAAGATTACCTAAACAGGTAATCAGCTTGGCAGCAGAGTACAGGAGAAAAAAGCATGTGCTTTTCAGCCAGAATGGTTTAAATCCTGAGATAGGACCATGGGCAAGTCACTTAACTGCTATGAAAATTATTTAGGGAATGGGACCACTATACTATTCAGAGAGGTGGGATCTTGACATGGGACATGTGAAGCAAGAACTTGCAGGGAACCCATGAATGGGGACTTTCATCACTCTGCATGCTTCTTCTCCATAACCCAATACCCCCTGCATTGCTCACATGCTGGGCACATGGTATGTAACTCTCAAGCTTTTGTGTAGAATGCCCTCACCTGCAAAGCCATAGCTGTAAATATCTGAACCAAGACCACAAGACTTGGAAAAAAAGCTTCTTATTTGCTCCTACAGCTACCTGGTTCATCCTCATAAAACCAGACAAGTAAGACTTTCAGAAAAAAAAAGAAATCCTTGCTTCGGAACTCTGGCCAGTTCTGGGTCAGAAGATTGTCAATTCCTGTTAGACTTTGCCCTGGACTTGATGTATGAATTTTAAAGAAAGCCAGTGTTTTTTTGTGCCATAACTCAGTGGGACACATTCCCACAGCCAAATTTCAATCCTTTTCTCATTCATTCTTTGCCAAGAACTCAAGGTACTGAATTTAGGGACTCAGAAACAGGAAAGGAGGTACCTTCTCAATCCACCCGCACAGACTTCTTATTCTTTCAGTTCCCAAAATGTTACATAAGTGGAACATACCTGTTCTTACCCAAGAGGACTTCAACAACTGCGATAAGTTGAGCTGTGGGTACTGGAAGGCTGTAAAAAGGAAAGGTTAGAGAAGGAGAAAAATCTATAAAACCCATGTTTGCAACAGTCAGAAAGGTAAGCATCCTGGGGAATACTCGGTAAGTCACAACATATTGCCTTTCCTATACTATTTTGCATGAACTATGAAAGAACAAAATGCCAAATTGGTGTACAGGCAGGGACAGTAATATTTTTTTCAGCACATGAGTCTCAAGAGAGAAAGAAATAGAGGACTTGCTCAAGGGACACTGCTTCACAAGTTCCCCTTGAAATGTCATTGTTCCAGAGCAATGAGTTTTCACAATGTGTTCCTTAGAGCCCTAGGATTTCCCAGCAGTGACTCAGGGTAAAGTGACCTTATGTCCTGGCTTGCCTGGGACAGTCCCAGAGTATACCTGTTGTCCTGCATACTTATTTATCCGTACTTGCACTGCACATTAACTGCAAGGTGCTATTTGTAAATAACAATTTTACCCCATCCTCTTTTGCATTTCACAAGTTAAATTCTTTTCAACTTAATTAACAATACACTAAAATACATTTAAAACCATTAGACCATAGGGCTGTTACACTGTAAAACTAATTTGATTTTTTTTCCCTGACTTTTTCAACTCTGGAATCTAATATTCTTTTAAGTAAATGTTTCCCCCACCTCCCATCGCACTCCACTTGCAGAGTGAATCTAATTGTTTCAGCCAGGAAGAAAGGTTTTGTGGGTTTTCCTTCACTACTCTTTTTTAATTTAATTTGTAAGTGTGTATGCAGTAAAGCTCACTCTTTGCTCTACTGTTTCATGGGGTTTGGCAAATGCATAGAGTCATGCAACCGCCACCACAATGAAGACACAGAACAGCCCAATCGGCCCCCAAATCTGTGTGCTGTGACCTCTTTGCAGTCTGGCTTTCCTCCCACCCTACCTCCCTGGTGACCACAGACCTGCTCTCTGTCCTTCTGGCCTCCCCTTTTCCAGAACAGGTGCTGTCTAACAGCCCCTTACTCTCAAGGGAAATAGTAAAGTAAGGCCCGGCGGGTGCAGGGAGCTCTGGGGGCCCACCCTGGCTTGAATCTGGGAAGCTCCAATTTTATCTGACTTACACTCCAGATTTCAGCCAGACATTTCCTTGAATATCACTTGACTACTCATGGCCCCCTTCCCAATGCTCCACAAAAGAGCAGTACTCACGCTCAGCGATCTGTAGCACCGGGAAACCCAGGTAGAAACTGAACTCCACCACACTCAGGTTCCTGAGCAACTCGCTCACTTCAGACCCATTCAGAAACCCCTGGGCGCCTCTGACGGCAAAGACGATATTCACAGGGCCCCGCCGAGGCTCCGCCCTTGAGGAACCCATGGTGATATTCAAGATCTGAAAGAAGGAAGGTGGGATAAGCTTCTAAAACAAATGAACAGGTTCAGCTAAAAGCTTGACTATGACTTCTCTCTCACAATTTCCCTGACTTTTTAATAACACAGAGTGGTTAACTTTTTTTAAAGGAACTAACTGGCTTCTCAGTCTGGTTCCCCTTTGCAATACTTTAAATTCTCAGTTTATTGAAAACACTTTTTACATAAAGTGATGAGCTGGGCACATGTATTTATAGCCTCTCCCCCTGCCCCACACCCCAGAGCCCACCGAAAGAACAATAGCCTGAACAAAGGAGAATAAATTCACAACAGCACTGAGAGTGGAGGAAAACCAGAGATTCTGTCAAATTTCTGGAAGATGGAGAGAGGACGGGACTATTTTGATATAAACCGGAATTGAGGAACTGCAACCCATAACCTAACAAGGCATAATCCACAACAGAGCTGAGAGTGTCCTACCCCCGGGACCCCAGGAGAGGCTCAAGGTAGAAATGGTCAAAACTGAGGCCACTGTAGGCTGCAAAGAGCAAGCAGTGTAATTAATCAAAGCGTCTGTGCCAAAGAGCCGAGTGAAGTACCTCCCTCCTCTTCCCTTTCTAACTGCCACATGCAGGCCAGAGGCATTAACAGCAGCCACATCTTCACCCTGAATATCCCAAAAGAACTGCTCCCTAAGAAAAATGAGCTCCCCACCAGAGAGTGCTGAAAGACCTACTGTGGGCTTGGTGCTAAGCAGGAAAGTGGGTAGAGACTGCTATAACTGTGGTGCACACAAGGGACAAAGGAGGAAAGAAAATGAAAGAAAAAGCAGCCCTGAAAATGACCCAAAACTGCTCTTTCCCAAGGAGCAACCTCCTTAACTTACTCTGGAGGCAGGAGGTCCCAGTCTGCCTGTCTCTGACCACATGCTGCCCCGAGAGTGAGAAGCCGATACATCTACCCCACTGCCAATATGTCCTGGCCAGTCCCCAGGGCTCCAGTGAATTCTTCTATCAGGAGACGAGGCTGATGCAGACACAGACCCCACCCAAGGCTGAAGGGGAAAACTCGACTAGCTGCCAGAATTAAAAACCTGCTCCTTCATTCCTAACAACCAATCAATCATCTCCAGATATTTACAGAAAACTAATAGCACAAAAGCAATGGACCAAGATCAACATAGAACAATGGCTGCAGAGAACACAGATAACTTAGGAGAGGGAAAGCAACTTTTCAAAAATTCTAATGAACATGCTCAGAGACTTTCAAGGTAATATTGCATCATCATTCAAGATAATCCTGCACCATTCCAGGGAAGACTGCAACAAAAAAGGAGCAAAAAAAAATAATGATGGCTGAAAGAAAATTCAACAGAGGGATTGACTAACAATAATGGATACAGCTGAAGACTAAATTAGTGACTTGGAGGACAAAGTTTAGAAAATCAGAAAAAACTTAGAATTTAAAAGAGAGATAGAAAACGTAAGAAAAATTAAGAAATATGTAAGGTGAATCTAGAAGCACCAAAATCTGTTTAATAAGAATTCCAAAAAGAGAGAACGAAGAATACAGAGGAAAAAATATCAAAGAAATATTAAAACACCAACAGTTTCCATACAATACAAACAAAGCCTGCTCCTTGATTAGAGGTATATTCCATTTTTAGAATGAAGCACTCTATTTCATGGCATTCCATAATATGAAACACTAGTGTATTTAAGCATTCTGCCCAATTGTGTATTTAGGTTTTTACTGTTCCTTTTTAGAAAATTCTTTAATTTCCTGCATATAGCCATCTCTCTCCAGCTAACCATCCCTGAGCTTCCTGGTTACCCAGCTACTCCTCAGTCTTGAACATGCTTAGCCTATTCATGCTATGTGAACTTGATACCATGGAAAGAGACTGACCCTGATCCGTATGAACTGAAGTAAGAGTTAAGTGTAGCTTCAGCTTAAATGAAACACTATGAAACTCGTCCCCTTTAAGGATAAAACGTCTTATTCTGGGTTCAGTCCTGTTCTCACCTGCACCGTGAGGTTATACGCCCCCTGGTGGTGTTTTCTCACTTCAGAGAGAGCTGTCATAAGGCCTTTCTCGATACGCTGGGTGAAGTTGCAGAAGCCAGTGTCCACACTCTGAGGCACAAACTGGAGTACTGAAAGGACAGCAATGACAGTCCCATGAACTAGGCACTTCTTTAGCATTAAGGAACAAGGAGGGAAAAAAACAATATCTAATCAACTAATTCATCCATAGTATGGGATTGAGTTCTATGCTGTATCACTTACATGTATCATATCATGGAAATGTGGGAAGCCAACTCTACACCAAATGAATAAATACAATGTGAAGGTGACTTGTATCATTTTAAATGGAAAAATACCTACGATGACAATCTGAGCATCAAAAGATACAACTGACTGAAACATTTCAAATACATAAATAACCCATTAGAGATTATTTCTTACACCCAGGTGAAATGACATGATACCTGGTATTACTTTAAAATAGTCTGACTTCCTCAAAAACTGAGGGATAGACGAAACAAAACTGGGAGAATGTTGGTAATTTTTTAAGTTTAGTGATGGCATATGTGGGCTAAATTTGTTATCCTCTCTACTCTTACATGTTTGAAAATGTCCATAGTAAGAAATTAAGTATGATACTCAGGAATTACTATTAATTTTAGAGGGTATGTTAATGATATTGTGGACAGACATATATGTGTGTATATACATGTACATGTATGTATATATGCATATGTTGTGGCTTATTTAATAGTCATCTTTCAGAGGCATAGGCTGAAATAATTATGAATGAGATAACATGATGCCATATCAAAATAATGTGAGAGGAAGGTCTGTAGATAAGGGTGTTGATGTAACAAGACCAGCTAGGAGCTGAAAACTGTCAAAGCCATAAAATGGGCATATGGGGGTTCATTAAATTATTCTGTATACTTTTATATACAAATATTTTCCATATTTATAAATATTTTTGAAATCTTAAATAACATATTTTTTAATTCCCTCCCAATTTTTTAAAAACAAAACATTAAATTAAATTTTATTTATAAATCATAACAACTATGCTCAGTTTTCTCACCTGTTTGAACTTGGAACCTGGACTCTGGCACAAAGAAGGAAGGTTTCACAGCCAGAATTAAAGGAGTTTGGTCACGTACAAGTTTACTATTTATAAGAACATTTATGACTGATATTGCCGTGTAAACAAAAGGGCCAGATGTTACCAGAAAAGTGAAGTCAGCGAACAGATCATAAACCTATGAAAATAAAAAATAGAGAAGACAGTAATTATCAAATTTGGGAGTACCATAATTCAAACTTAAAAGGAAGCTGTAGTGAGTAAAAAATAGTCATTTTAAATTAGGCAGTGCTACACACATAATCAAAATTTTACTTTTACCTACCCTTTCACACATCTGCCAACCTTCTCAAAAACAGCACAAAATTACTGGAGCAAAGACAGCAAGAAAGAATAGCCAATAATATGAATTAAATAGTGAGGTATAGAGAATTCTAGGCATTTGTTGCATTTAACCCACATATAAAGGAGCACATGCTCTGTTGGGCAGTGCTGCCCAAAAAAATCTGTGAGCCACATAAGCAATTTTAAAATGTCCAATAGCCACATTTAAAAACATAAGAAGAAAATGGTGAAATTAATTCTAAATACATTTACTTAACCCAATATATCTGAAATACAACTTCAACATGTAGTCAATGCAAAAAATTATTAGGGAGATATTTTACATTCCTTTTTCACTAAGTCTTTGAAATCCAGTGTGTACTTTCACTTACAGGACATCTTAATTCAAACGAGCCCTGTCTTACATGATCAATAGTGACACATGGCTTTGGCTCCGCCCCTGTTCAGAATGGTACAGGCCTGCAGGGTGAGCTCTCTGAGCTCATCAAGGGAGAGGCGGCAGGAGCATGGGGCCCACTATAAAACATTTGGAAATCTATCATCTCACTGAATATACAGAAACATGCATATGCACTCACTCTAAAATCTAATTTAAATTCTAATCCAAGTCGTTTTATGTAAATCAAGACAAGCAAAATTGTTCAGTCATCCCCAAATTTGGTTTTAGAGCCTCTTTCTTCCAATCTGCCACCGCATCCCTCTGAAGGACTAGCCCTGGCCTTGCCTGGGGTCAGGAGGGCCTTCCCTGAGGAAGTGATGCCTGAGTGGGGACCCAAAGGATGAGGGGGTGTCCATCAAGGCGGAAGAGAAGAACAAGAACGTCCTGCTACCATTACAACGTGCCTCCATCCCAGCTCCCGCGTCAGACTTGCCAGCCGCAGGGACCCACCTGGAGCTCCACGGCACGGTTGAAGTGAATCCTCAACACCTCTTTGATGGATGTGATGATGTACTCCTGCACAGCTCTTCTGGCCAGCACTACAAACCAAAGCCAACCACCAAATGCAGTTTAGTGTCATCATGAGTAACATTGGCATCACACTGCATAGAGCATGTGCCATGCCAACATGTGGTAGCAGCTCCCAAAATCATTTTTTAAAATAAGGCCCCAACTAGGAAAGAAGAGATGTGGGGCTTGAAGTTACCAGGTAAACTGTGCTCAACATGCTAAGAAAACCCTCGAGACTCTACGCCCAGTGGGTGAGACCAGGAGTCAGGGGCTGTGACCCAGCCAGGGGCCAGAAAGCATGGAGTTCTCCTTTTCATCTGGGCAAATACCAGGTTTTCTCTTGGCTATGCCCCCAAAGGTAAAACAGGAAGTTTTTAAAACTCTCAGCAGTAACATTTTAAAAGGCCTTGCAGTGTAACTCAACAAAACTAGATGCCATCTTCCTCTATAAAATGAGGCCTCCTACCAAATTTTCAAAGTGTTGAAAGTGAAGTGTTTTCACTAACACTGGTGGGGGTGGGGGAGGGGAGAGATTTCACAATTCTCATGTGTTAACATTTTATGCACAAAATAAAATATTTCTTATAACAAAGTCTAGCTATTTAACATTCCTTTCACATACAAGATATTCTATTTAAAAATCAGCAATAAGACTGTTTCTCAGTATTTAGTAAGCATGTCCTGCTCCCTTTACTTTTCCCTATAATTTTTTCTTCCTCTTCCATTAACTTCCCATAATGCAGAATCAAAATACATTTTGATCAAAATAAATTTTTATTCAGCTTTCCACTTCCTGTTCTCACTTTTTAAGACTGGAGGTAGAATCACTCCCTATCTTCCATTCTTTTAAAACACAGATGTTGAAGTTATATTTTATTGCTTTCTCTACTGACCAGTGACCTTGATATAAAAAGTAGAGAGGGGCTCCTTTAGTTCATGAGGCCATTAAACAAATCTAGATTCCCCGACCTCACTGCTGAGTCAGCCAATGGCCAACTTAGCACGGCCTGAATGGGCTCCGAGTGGACCAGATCGCCGCATGGTCGTTCAAGGGAAAGGCAAAAATGAGTAGGAAAGAAGGAAAAGCAAGGGGAAGAAGGGAAAGGAGGGAGGGAGGAAGGGAAGGAGGAAGAAAAGACCTCAAGAGCCAAACCTGAGAAAGTAGAGATGGAATGGAAAGTCAGAGACAGAAAAACCCAAAGGGAAAATGAGGACGCACATATCCTAAGTAGCCCCATACAGCTGACGGTGTCACTTGGGAGAACCATGCAAGTACTCTGAACAGCCCCCATGGCCCACCCCCATAACCTCTCCCTTCTCTAATTAATCCAAGCATCATCTAAAACTGCAACATTAGGTCATGAGAACAAGAGTAGTTGGGGAAAAGGATCATCAGCAAACAAATATCTTACAGTTTCTCCAAATATCTAGTTTCCCCAGGGCTAAAAGAGACGAGAGACCACCGAGGAGGCCAGGGTCAGGCAGGTCCTGGGTGGGAGGTGTAGCCTCACCCCTTACTGGATTCATGTGGTCAAGGGCCTTCCTGAGAGTCCATGAGGGATCGGCAGAGACTGTGCTTATGCTATTACAGAGCTTCATGAATACAACCCTTCAGAGGACAAGAAACCACCCCAACCCTCTCTCTCTGATACATAACTACTAAAAAGAAATCAAGGTCAGACCTAAAGGAAGATTCTAAATGAGGTAATACTTCCTCTGGGTCAAAAGACAGCTTTCATCTCCACTTAAAAATACAATGTAACAGTATGGATACTTATGCATAACTCTACATATATAGTAACACTACTGAAGAGGACATTTACAATGGGTGAACTTTACCCCAAAGAATTTTTAAAAATACATGGATCCCTTAACAAAGGACACCAAATTCATTAAATGTATGTCTCTAAGCTGGACTCTAAGCTCCTTGAAGCTCAGCACCAGGTCATTCATCTGGATATCTCTTAAAGCTTCTAAAAGTACCTCTCACATACTAAGTGCTCAATAATTATTTAACACATGAATTATCAAATGGCTCCTTATTTGGGGAGAAAGGGAGTTAGGAGAGCAAAGGCCTCAGCTGCTCCCTCTCAGCAGCGCCCTGCAGAGGCCACGGTGAGCAGAGGATGCACAGCCCACCCCACTGGCGTGAGGACAAAAGCCCAAGCATCTTCTGCTTCTCCTCCCTCACCTCTGCCTTTCCCTTGTCCACGTGACTCCATTCCTACTCTATCTCGCCTGCCATCTTCTTCCCCCGTCTTCATTTCTGTCCCACCCTCATCAAAATCAGCATGCACAGTCAGGCTGCTCATCAATATTGTGTTGTATTTACGTATATTTTAACAGGTCTCAAGACTTCATGCTCAGTCTGTCATTTCTCATGAAGCATAAACCAAAGCACCTGACCAAGTGTGCCATGGTCACTGGGCTTGTACAACCACGACCGTGAACGCAGCCCAGGTTCACATGACTGACCAAGCCAGGCAGCTGCCAGAGAGACTACCGTCTGTTGGCTAGCCGCTCAGGCTGCAGGCCGATGCAAAGATCAAAGTCTGTGACCAAATTCAGGAGATTTACTCGCTCCACGTTTCTTCCTAGGATCTAAGTGACATTTATGGGAATATATAAGAGCAAAGTGCCCCCTACTGAAGGGAAAGTAATAGTAAACTAGTACAAACTTGCAATGGCTGCCCTTACACATATGTCCAGCTAAGTGCCTGAATTACACATGAAGGCGTTTGGGTTAAACTGTCATCAATGCATCTACTGGGTCATGAGTTCCAAAGACAGAGATCCGAGCTAAAGCTCAAAGGCTCATTTACATCTTTTATTAGTTCTGAGCACTTGTGCTAACAAGGTAGTATTTTGTCAGTACTTCCTACGTGCCAGCTCTGGTTCAAGTATTTCACAGGCATTAATACATTTAAATCTTTACAATAACCCACTAAGTAGATGCCACTCTCATTCTTGTTTAATAGTTAGAGAAACTGAGGCTTGGAGAGACTAAGTGATGGTTCGGAGAACTCACCGGAGAAAGGATTACCACCCAAGAGCTCCCTGGGTCCAAAGCATATTCCATCACCATGCTGTATGCCACGTAAGCCACTCATACAAGCACCTTAGAAAGAGCACCCCCACCAAGAGAGGCGACTTGAAGCAGGGCCTTACCAGCCGTGATCAAATAGGCGTCGGGAACTGTAATATCACACACATACGGCGGCTTGGTGGCGACCAGTGCTGGAGTCCCCACTGCTGCTTCAGGAGTGGGGTTGGTCACGGGACGGGGGGATGGCGGCAGAGGAGCCGTGCTGCTCTCGTGGGGACGCTGACTCACGGTTTGGCTATTCGGGGAGGTGGCAACAACACTGTTACCAGGTGTGCTCGGTTCAGGGAGGCTGCTCACTGGCAAATCTGGAGGTGTGAATGATGGACCCATAGGTACGGGCTCTGCAGGCAGAAGTGAGGGGATGGCCCCAGAAACCAATGAGGATGCTGATGATGGGTACACGCTGGTGGCCACTGCTGCAGTGGCAGGAATGACTTTGGAGGACAAGACAGACGTGTGATCATCTGTAGTGCTGACGTCGCTGTCGGAAGGTGTCAGAATTGGAAAGAGAGATTCTGTTAAAATGGGCGGAGTGGGAAAAACTGTCAAAGATGAGGTGAGGTGACCTCCAGCAGTCAAAATGTCAAGGACGGGCTCAGAACTGGGGAACACCAGTGTAGTGACTGCAGGTTCATGGGAACTGAGTGACGACTCAAAATAGGAGGTAGTTGCAGTGAGGACTGAGGTAAAATGAGCTTCAGAATCTGTCAGTGAAACTGTTGATGCCTCAGAGAATTTGAGAGAATCAGATGGGAAGCTTGACAGCAGTGACATTTCAGAGTAACTAGGTAGTAAAGTGAATGTATTTAAAAGAAGGTCAGAACTTTGCCAGACCTGAGAAAATTCAAGGCTGGTGGAATTAGGAACAGCAAGCTGAGGTGACTGCACATTGACAGGGCCGGACAATGAAAGTGTCTCAACCAAGGTAGAAAATGCCGGAGAAACGTAGGTTGGCAAATCACGCAGCGTCAGAGATGGAGAAGCAGGTACTTCTGAAGATGTTGGGACAGAGCTGCTGATTTCCAGAGGTGGAGTAGGGAAAAAACTGGATGCAAAATCCAAAATACTTCCAGTTTCACATTCAGAAAAACTGACAGGTTCTCTGTCAGGGAAAAGCGAAGGCTCTGCTGAAGGACCCAAACTGTAAGATGTAAAAAGATGCGCGTCTCTGCCAGTGAGCGATGGTGTGCGTGTGTTTGCAGGGACGGAGAAAGATGAGCCAAGGAGAACATGGGCGATGACAGAGGAAAACACAGCTGTCGTGCTGGATGGCACTCCTCGAGTTCCAGCCACAGAGGGGGAGCCGAAAGGAGCCACATCGCGTGACACCAGGACAGGGAGGAGGCCCTGGGAAGGGTATACCTGTGTGGTCATGACCCTGCTCGCATCCACCTCGGCTGGAATACCAGTGCTCACTTCTGAGATTACTGTGGAGCGAGAAGAGAGTGGAACGATCGGTCTTGAGGGGAAAAGTGTGTTGTATTCTTGAGACTGTTCCTCAAAGTCAGAGAAGTCCACCACCACGCTGCTCAGGGGCGAGAGGCTGTGCACCTCCAACATGGCCCCAGACAGGGTCTCTGCACCATCCCCCGATCCCACGTCCTTCTCCAGGAGGCTGATTGACTGAAGGAGCCCAGGCGTGGAAGCACAGGAAGTGCGACACAGGTCCCAGGTGAGCAAAGACACTGGGCTTGGGACATGAGTATCGTCCCCAAGACTTGGGGCCACCGAACTGCCAGGCAATTCTGACACTACACTGGAATTGCCAGCGGGAACGGGGTTATGCGAAACCTCAGCGGACTGAGTAGAGAAGGAAACCAACACAAGAGGGGTGGAAAACAAAGCCGAATTGGTGAGGCGGCCGCAGCTGCTGCAAGCCAGGGTGGTCTGTGCCAGAGCTGCAGCAGGCGATGTTCCTGGAGAGAAGCTTTCTTTTAGACTTGGGCTCAAAGCAGAGGTCACATCAGGGAAGCTGTCTGTACCTGCAGCCAGAACATCCTCTGGAGGTGGGGTGGGGGGCAGCGGCCGCTGGGTACTGCCCTCGTCCCCGGGCTGAGGCACTGCAGACTCCAGGCTAAAAAGGACGGTTTCTACGTCCTCTGTTCCTGAAGCCATGATCTCCGGTAAAGTCCTGGTGGGTAAGTGCCCATGGGAGTCAGTAGGATAAAGCACCACATTCCTACTAGGGATTGGCCTTGTGCCCGCGGACGTGGGAAAAGCTGACCGAAGAGCACTGAGATGAGTGGGGGATTCAGTGTGCGTTGTCGGAAGCTGCACTGTGTTTTGCCAGGCTGATGTCCCTTTCTCACTGTGTAAAGAAATAATGGGAAGGGATGGAGTCAGCACTGGGTCCAGCGTTTCCTCGGGCAGCCCTTGTGGGCTGACTGTCATGAACTGTACAGGAGAAACTACGCGGGAAGCAGTCCAGTGAGTTTCTGGCAGAAAGTTATCCATGTCGTCATCATCCCCGAGCACCTCATTGCTCATCACAGACATGTAATTTGCCACAAAGATACTGTGATCTGCTGTACTGGGGGTTCGTTTTCCCTGGTTAAAAAAGGCGGTATCAAAAGTAATGACGGATGGAGATGAGATGACGTGGAGAGATCTGCTTTGCTGGGACCCTGCAGCGGTTTCTGTTAAGGCCACATGTGCGGCGCTGTGCGCGGTGCTCTGCTTCAGCGTGGGCTCCACGGAAGATGAGGAAAGGTTGTGCTGTTCCAGAGAGAGCTCATCTGAGAAAATAAAAGCTGGGTTAGTTGCAAGGCAATGAAAGTCATTCTGCTAACATTTGTTTCAGATATAAAAATTTACTCATTCAACAAATATCCACTTATTGTGAAATCCACAAATCACAATTAGAAGTTAAACAGCTAGTGGCAGCCAGAAATTACCAGAATCACTGCCAGGGTAGTATCTGCAAATATTCACAAATCTGAGCACCCCCTTTACTGAAGCTTCTGTGTACAACATTGACAATTTTTTTTTCTTTCTGACACGACCACAGAATACTGGGAACCAAAGCGGCCTTAGGTGTTTGTTTAGTTCATTCTTTCTCATTTATTACGTGAGAAAGAGAGGTTCAGAGAACATAACTAAATCAACTACATGATCACCTGGACAGAGCTGGAGGTGGAATCTGAATATAAGCCTGCCTTGACTCCCAAGCCCATGTGGTTTCTCTTCTGTAAAAGCTGCCTCTTAAGAGAAATAAACATGACAACTCTGACAGCATCATTCACTACTCAGGTAAAAGAGTTTGACGCTTTCCTAGCTGTAGGGCCTTCCATGTTTAGGCCTCAGACTACATCTGGGCTCAGCCCTCATTCCCTGCTCACTCTCATGCCTTCCCAACTATACTGTGCTCAAAGGAGCTACCTGCAGTTCCCGAACCCAAATTCCATCTGGCCTGATGACTTTGACATTCTTCTCCCTCTGCCTGGGGTGCGCTTCCCCAGTTCGCCAGCCTGATTACTCCTACCGGTCCTGAAGATGCAGCATAGAGACTGGCTCCCTCCTCAATACTATGCAACTCGTTAGTGCCTCTCCCTAGGTCTCTACCTGTCATATCCCTCGTCACGCCTCACTGAAACTAACCATCTTCTCATTACACCATGAGATTTTTTAAGGCAGAGACACCGAATCCATTTCCCTGGTGCCTAGCACAGTAAATGACATAAAGCAAGAGCTCCAGAATCATCTACTGACTGAATGAACCAATGGTGTTTGACGACCAAGTTCTGTTATGGGCCCAAAGCATCGTATCGTTCTCTCAAACTTTCATATTCTTTATCCTTGTGACAGCCATCATTATCCTTTAAGCGTTTTAGGTGGCTCCACCTGTAATTCAGATACGTTGCATTGAGGCAGGATATATGATGGCCCGGATCCTGATGCAGGCCCAGGGCACAGGCACCACCTACTGCAGTACAGGCTGGGGAAGGGGCCACAATCATGACCCATGACAACACCCTTCTTTCATTTATCCAAACACTTTATCAGAAGACAAGTGTATGAAATAGTATACTTACTCCTTTTGTTTTTTTTTAAAGTAAATTGTTTCTATTCTAATCCTGGCAATATGGCTAGAGATCTTGAAGTCTTCCCACTTTATAACATTTTGTTATGCTTAAAAAATGTTCAAAAACATCCTTTTACATAGCTGGATGAGCCTGCAAGACAATAGGAGATGTTCTGAGTGCAGGAGCAAAGCAGGCCTCGGCCAGGCAGGTCACGGAGCACTGAAGTCACCAGACAGCCTAGAGGGACACTGGACCACATAGCCTAATGCTTAGACCATGGGGGAATAAGGGGCAAATGTTGGGTCTGGACAGGTTAAAGAACTCAATCAAAGGCCATCTCCAAAAAAGTGGAGACCCAGGAAGTGCCACACTCTGAGGGAAAAAATGAATTAGGAAGAAAAATATCAACCCTTCAAAGTAAAGCAAGAAAGTGTCTGTCTCAACTTTGCCTTCAACTTTTGACTTTTTAAAAGTCCTCCCCCTCCCCCACTCCCCCCGCCCAAGTCTGGAACCTATACTACTTGTATGGTCCTAAAAACTACATGCTGAGAAAAAGCTAAAGTGGACCTGATCACCAATGTCTATCAGAGGCTGATATAAATCATCTCCAGAAGAAGAGCCCTCAAATCCAGCATCAAAGTATTCTTGCAGCTAAAGTTACAAATATGATGGCAGAAATGAAAAATTACAAAACACATAAGGAAGTATCTACTATGAGAAAAAGTCATGAAATTTTCCTGCACAAAAAGTCAAAAGAAACCCACATAAATAGTATCAGATCTGTAAAGACTTTTGATATTGAAACTATGGGATATATTTTTTAGCATATGTTGAATTCATTTAAAATAATAGAGTGGACTGAAAACAGGAGTCAGGAGCAAGAGACTATAAGAAATGGCCAGAAAGATTTGAAAAAATACATTTAGTAATGAAAAATATAATAATTACAAATTTAAAACTCAATATACAACATATAATAAACAGCAATTTAGACATAGCTCAAGAGAGATTTAGTGAATTGGAAGATAGAGCTGAAGATTAGAAGGGAGCACAGAGAAACAAACGAATGAGAACTATTAAAGAGAAGTTAAGAGACATGTGAGACAGAATAAGAGTCCAACATACATTTGATCAAAGTTCTAAAAAGAATATACACAATGGAATACTATTCAGCCATGAAAAGAAAATAAATCCCACCATTTGCAACAACATGGATGGAGCTGGAGGGTATTATGCTCAGTGAAATAAGCCAGGTGGAGAAAGACAAATACCAAATGACTTGCCTCATTTGTGGAGTATAAAAATGAAGCAAAACTGAAGGAACAAAACATCAGAAAACACAAACTCCAAGAAGGGACTAGAAAGGTGAGGGGTGGAGGAGGGTGAGTGCAGAGGGAGGCAGAAGGGGATGGAGGGGTATTATAATTGGCACACATGGTGTGGGCAGGGTCACAGGGAAGACAATGTAGCACAGAGAAGACAAGTAGTGACTCTGTGGCATCTTACTACACTGATGGACAGTGACTGCAATGGGGTATGGGGGGGACTTGATAATAAGAGTGAATGTAGTAACCACAATGTTTTTCATGTGAAACCTTCATAACAGTATATATCAATGATACCTTAATAAAAATTTAAAAAAAGAAGTAATATAGGTAATTGGATAGAACAATATACAAAGAGTGCTAAGAACTGTCCAAAATTAATAAGAAACATGAATCCTTCAATTCAGGAAGACCAAGAAATCCCGAGCAGGGTAAATTCTTTAAAACCCGTACCTACACACATGATGATAGTATAGAACAAAGATAAAGAAGAACTGTAAATCAGTCAGAGGAAAGAAATGGCAGTTACACCATCAGATAACTACTTCACAGAGCAAGGAGTCAAGTGACAATGAAACAGAGTCCTCAAAGTGCCGGGAGACAATATCTGACATCTTTGATTTGAATAACCAGCAATACTCTCTTATTTGTTAAAATAAGGACACTTTCAGATGAACAAAAAGCAGTTATACCAACAGAAGATCTTCAGTAGCAGAGCCTCTGTGAGGATAGACTTTGAGAGGAAAGGCAATTATCCCAGAAAGAAGATCTGAGAAGAAGGAACAGAGGATAAATAAATGATAAAGATATGGTTAAATCTAAACAAATACAGATGGTATAAATGAACAGTACTACTACTACGTATTTTGTGAGATTAAAAAAGATGTAATATAGAATTAAAATAGCTCCCTATAATCACACAGAGGCTGAAAGAGGGGCATCCAGAGGTGTTTGTGACTCACCGGCAGAGACTGAAATCAAGAATTAAGATGAAATTCTGTGACCAGATTTTGTGTGTATATACTAAAATTTGCAAATGATATTTAATATAGATAAAATATTTCTAGCTGCTTCCATCAGCATCTGAAAGTCACAAACTTACACAGACATATGCTGCTTACTTCAAAAGTTTTCATACTCCTTTCTATGTAATATGACTTTCATAAATGAATAAAAAATAACAGAAGGAAACTGTCTCTTAGAGACTGTAGCTTGTTTCACAGCATTATTATTAGGCATTTGTTGTCTTCCATACACCTGGGCTCTAGGACTTCTTGTCTACCTGCTTTATCTCTAGGCCTGTGTCATTCCAAGCAGCAAAAGTAAACATGATACTTATTACAGCCAAGGTAAAATAGCAGCTGTCCTTTTCTACAGTAAAGGTTAAAAACTTATAAATTCAAGCAATAAAATCACATTCTGCCCCAACTATGTAGCACACTGATTTGAAAGTTTTACTATGGATAAATTATTTTATGGTCTGTTTTAAAACTCTGCTATAACATAATTTATTTTGCAATATAGGATCTGAACAGGGAGCAAGATCCCTTTTAAAATGAATCTGAAACATTTTTGTAAGTACACTGGAAAACTGCAAGAGATAAAATAGCAAAAAAAAGCAATGCTTAACTAATTTATGAACCCAAGCATCTGATGCAAATTACAATTCAATGAACTCTGCCGACCAAGGGCAGGGAACAGGAAAGGCAAAGTGGGCAAAAGGATGAAAAATTCTCCTGACTAGTAAAACAGGAACAAAAACTTCCTATTAAGAAATGTAAGGTGTACCACGCTGTAATGCTCCCTGCCTCCACTTTCGGCCAAGCCCCAGGAGAGAGACAGCAGCTGAAATGCCACGGGAATTACTTCCGTAGTTAATTCAGAAAGAGGTTAGAAAACCCAGGTGAGTCTCTCCCAGCACAAAAGACTTTGGAGACTCTTAATTTCAAGCCCTGGAGACCAATTTTCAAGCTCTGAAGCGTTAGTTCACAGGAGAGAAAGGTTTTCTCTGTGACGACAGAGAGAAAGGAATGGGGCTGGGTGATTCTAGCACTCTTCAGACATTTGCGTGCATAGGAATGACGTGGGGATCGTGTTAAAATGCAGGCGCTGTCCAGCAGGGCTGGTGTGGGTGCTGAGCTTCTGCGTCACTCCCAGGCAGTGCCAGGTCTGCAACCACTCTGAGAAGCGAGTGTTGAGACACTTTCTCCCACGAAGACCCACAGCACATGCCCAGTGGGTGCCTACCTTGTCCCACGTCCTGGGACAGGATCTTGCCAAGCTTTATGTAACAGAGCAGAATCTGCCCTCGTGCCACACTGACTCACTGGGCTTAAAAATGCAAAAGGAAGACCCATGGAATGTGCAACACCAACCATGAGCCCTAAT